ATTCTTAAAACCTAATTTAATCGTCAAAACTGATCACTTTTTGTCGTCACATTGATGAACTACTCGCTTCAACAAATATTTTTCTTCGATGTTGCTTGACTATCTTATCTAGCGCACAGCATCAAACATTTCAAATCTTGATAAGAACATCAAATATCTTTACATCTGGACAACGTCCTACAAGATAATTTGAACATAACTTCTTTTTCTCACTTCTATTACACAATATTATATACAGATAATACAAATAGTAAATGCTATTAAAGAATTTTTTATATTAACAATAATAATTAATCTAAATATATAATTTAGATAACATTTTAAATTAAAGTTAGAAATAAGTTATATCTTATATTCATTCAATATTTAACGTTACGAAAAATCCACATTCTTTATCTAATAAGTAAACAGAGAACTTATCTATCAATTATGATTTTGTAAGAGAACGCTGTAGGTATCACAAAGATATCTGGTATCACGTGGAGAACAAAAACTATCAGATTACTCCTTATAGCTTGGTATGAATGTTGAATAAAAGTTTTTCAAAAATTGCACCGATTTTACTGTATCGGCTAAACTCTGCACTTGTTGGTACCTCGGCCTTCATTGACTGCATTGTCGCGAAGACGCCGGGGGCGAGCGAACTGTCGTTAACCCCCGAATCCCGGTGATCCCTCGCGGCCGAAATAGAGAGTGAGAGGGAGGGCGCGAACGGAGGGTACCAAGTTCACCGCAACCTTCCGTAAGCGGCGTGTCGGCGTGAAACTCGGTAGCCGCGTAACAAGAAAGAAGTAACTATCGTTGAAGCGGACTAGTTTGTTCAATGGCACGGGGGGGGGGTGCAAAGGGGGATGAGGGAGATCGCAGGAAGGTGGGCCGAAGTTCCTTGCAAGAACAAGAACAAAGTTCCCGACCGAGACCCCCTCCGCCGTCGCCCTCGATCCTCTTTCACCCTCCCCCAGTGAGGTGTATACCCCCGCAGATGCGCGCACAACCAGTTCACCTTGGAAACTTTGACGAAAACCAAATTCCAAGTGCACGCCCGCACACCCTCTCGAGCCTACTTGTAAATTTGCCGCCGCGACCGCTAAATCCCGCCGTCTTTCGTGGACTGCATCGGCGAAGCAACGCGACAATAAAAAGGGAAAGAAGAAAAATAAGGGTTTGCATCCGTAACCCCGTGTATGATCAACTAGAAGATTCTTCAATAACAGCAAAACGCATGTGAAATTACATTAAGAGGTACAGTGAAAAAGTTAAAAAAATATTTCATAATGCTACCTTTGTCGTCAATTCATGTCATATCAACTCGACTATAATGTATGTATGTTAGAAACTAATATACATGTATATTAAAAATAGAATTATTATATCTCTGTGTTACAAATGTCGCGTAAAAATATAGTTATGATACATTATAAAAATTCAATCTTCGTATTAACAAAATTCAATCTTCGTATTAACAAAATATTGAAAAGATATTTACATTTTAAAAAAATTTCGCGTATTTTATCACACTTTTTTCTTTTCACACACCCGCGCACACACAGATAATAATTTTTTATCCTGCTATCAACTTGTCAAGTGTTTACGAAAGCATAAAAGCTTTTCAGAGATTTGCAACAGCATTTCTTCGAAAATATACTCTGTGAATTCGAGAGTTCGGCGAAAAATCGCGAAAGATCCATGATCACACGCAGAATTCGAGAAAATCTTCTTTTAATTCTTAATTCTTGGTACTTACTTTAGCGTTGATGAGCAGATGAGATTTTCTCCACGTCAATCGACGATTGTGGCGGTATCGGGAACTGGCTGGATTGGAACCGCAAGAGATTCCATCTTTCGTACGAGTCCGGGGCACCGTTTGATCCCTTCTCTGTTTACCGCGATGCCGGAAGACGCGTCTAGGAAGCTCAAAAGAGAAGACGTAGACCCGTGATCGACGTTAGGCAGCCCTACGAGGCCCGTCCGAACCGTCCGCGCCGCGACGTCGACGAAGAGCCCCGATTTTCCACGAGCAACCCCGAGAGGTCGTACAACACCACCGTCAAGAGGAGGACAGCAGTGGAAGAGGAAGAGGACGAGGAGAAGGAGAAGGAGGAGGAGGAGGAGAAGGAGGAGGAGGAGGAGGAAGAGGAGGAGGAGGAGGAGGAGAAGGAGGAGGAGAAGGAGGAGGAAGCAAGAAAGAGGGATA